AGAGAGAGAGAGAGAGAGAGAGAGAGAGAGAGAGAGAGGAATACACCGAACACTAAAAAACACACACAGTTGGGATCAATCAACCGTGGGTGAGGTGACAAGTTGCAATGTTCATTTGTGCTTCCCATGAAGGAGATGAGAACTTCCTCTGCATGATTGTTGTTAGGAGAAGATATCTTTTGAGATGCCACATTTTGATTGAACCATAAATTTGTCTATATTAATAATAATAGTATCACTATTATTATTATTATATATGTTCCACCCTCACATTATCCCCTAAAAAGATAGCTTGATTAGCTTGACATGTAAATCTGAACTCAAATGTATGATACAAGTCTAAGCTGGGAATGAATATGGTATAAATATTATCTAAATATTAAAAAGGATAAGATGACAAATCCAAAATCTAACATATTATATGACCAAAGACCACGATAAAATTTGAATTATGTGTCCATTATTGCTAAAAGGTTAAGTCATCCCATGATCCAATCTAACATTATTGTTTGGATCTTCTACATTAATTGGTTTGCGTCCTTTCGAGGTGACCATTGAAGTGTACAGAGTCGTATCTTTATGTTTTTTTTATATATATTACTTTTGATCCAAATTAATCAATATATCAAATGATTAATTTATATATTTAGATTGATATTAATGACAATAACATTAGGGATATATATATATATATATATAATATTAAAATATACTATTTTCAAATTTTGGAAGGATATATATAAAGCTTTTTTACCCAACTACAAGACATTATAACAGATCATAACCCGACGTATCATTGTACTTACTATTATGTGTATTTTTCTGATCCTATGCTTATTAATCCCAGTAATTAGACTACTCAAAACATTGTTGTTGATGTAATAATGGTTTCTGTAATAATGGTGTCATTCCTACTTTAAGATTTGCATAGACAGTATACACTTTCACCTATTTATACTTAAAAAAATTATATTAAAAATCTATATAATTAAGAAATTAAAATATTTAACCTTATTTACATTAACATATTCAATTTACCAACTGATGCGTTGGTCGATCTTACTAATGTCAATTCAAACATTGACGATGAGGAGGAAGATGAGACAAAGCAATGAGGCATCTACATTGACATTGTACTACTCTACCTCTTCTTCCACCTTCAACGTCACTCTACATCTACGATAATGTCGGAGGAAGAAGAGGAGGCAGGTAAGACATCTACGTCACTAAGGAAGAGGAGATAAGTGAGATAAAGTAGTGTGATGCTGAAGGAGGACAATGAAAGTGAGGCATCTGCATCGGCATCACACCGCACTGCCTCCTCTTTATTCTCGTCCATCGCCACATTATCAAAAGAGAAAGAGGAGGCAAAGCGATGCGACACCAACATAAATGTCTCACTTCTCTCCTCTTTCTCTTTCGACGTCAATGCAAATGTTGTTGAATATCGGATTTTGATAACGAAATCGATTGATGAGTTTGTGATTTAATCTGCGTTTTAAGTGACATAGGACTAACTTCGATCAAGGAGAGGTAAATTGATTAAAGAAGGAAGAATCATATTGGGTCAGGGTAAATATATCAAAAGATTGGACGTTGGGCCGGAGGATTGGTCGACATATCGGTAGAAGGCTCATGCCGTGAATTCGGCCAACGGATTGAAGGATCGGACATTGCGTTAAGGAGATCGAAAGTTGCGGGAGTCAACATGCTGATTGGGCAATACACTGAAGGAGAGGACGATTCTCCAAAGGATCGAACGAGCGTCGGATGAACCAATGACATACCGGATAAAGGATTCATCCTTTATAATCATTTATCTAAGATTGAAGTAGTTTATAGGGCTAATTGAGTTAGTTTTGGATATAATCATGTTAACTTAATTAGGGGCTAATTAGGTCTTAATTAATACTAATTTGGGCTCATTATGATTCCCATTTAGTGACCTAAAAGTTAAGTCAAGCGGTGGAACTTCTTGTGAGTTGAAAAACTCAAAAAACCCAATCTCCGAGGCTATCAGGCAATGGTACCACCTAGTGATAGTGTGTCAAGCGATGGTACTGCCAAACTGGATAGTGCTACCACCCAGTTGTCACGGACAAACTTCGAAACAAGGTGTTTGATGTAATGCTTATGTATATCCGTGTCTTTTGGCATTTTCATGCCTTGTAAAGAATGTAGAGGGGCGGCCGAAGGCTTAATAGTCCCACTTTAGTTGGGTTGGTGGCCTCTTTAGGCTTGTAAATAAAGGTTATGTCATGTGGACACGTGCGAGAGCTTTTCGGTCTGTAATAGACTATTTTACCCTTTGTTGTGCCACTATTCAGAGCTTGTAAAGTCTGTTTGTAATTTGTATTGTCTATGAAGTGTTTTTCGGAGATGTTTGCTTATGGATCCCGATTGAGGCGTTCTCTCTAACTCGTTCTCTCTTTTGGTGGTCCTAAGGGACATTGGGAGGCTTCGGGGAGGCTGACCTTTGCGGACGGACACGCAAGGGTGCCGCACGACTTAGGCAAAACCAGCTAAGTTCGTGTCATATGGTATCAGAGCGGGACAAGCACTCATAGAAACACTTAGCATGCAAACGTGGGGGACCTAGCGGGACTGCGTTGAGGGCAGTCAGCACACGCGCGACCGTTTGCGGAAAAACGGGCATGAAGATGTAGGGAAAAGGAGTCGCTCAGAGGAGCGGGCATCTGAGATTGGCATTCAGAGGAATGGCCAACCCTTCGCGTAGGAGGCACCACGAGAACAGGCAAGCTTGGAAGAATGTGGAGCGCACAAAGGTTGGGATGGCTGAGTTTGAGCTACGGCTCAACGTTGACAACTATACTTGATGGTGCTCAAGACAAGTGAGGCGCTTGGTAATGGATGAGACCATCCAAGGTGGAATGAGTTGCTCAATGACCAAAAGAGTTATGCAAAGCTCATAGAGGTAAGGGGAATTGCTAACTCAAAGAATTTGGTACTCATGCATGGGCTTGTATGCGGACGATGGAATGTTCGTGGCCATCCTAAGGCGACCGAAACTCGGCGCCATGGAGCGTTGAAACTTTCTCTTCGGCATGTGAAGGATACGTCCGTAGGAAGTTGAAGTGTGCAATGAGTTCAGCATGTTACTAGGCCTTGAGGGGTGCAGCGGGGGCTGTATTGACGGGGAGTT